ATTGAAAACCGGGCCTTTCTCGAAGCGGACTTGGTCCGTATTGCCCTTGGACGCAAACTGTTGGCAGATTTCATCTCATATGCTAAAGAAATGGATGTCACAATCTTCACTGGTGTGTTCTATTGGCGCTTCTTGACTCACATACTCACACCCTGCAGCAATCGACTTTACCGACGCTTATCTGGCATCCGAGAAACCTATTCAAATCACGCGCACACCAAGTGTTGCATCGGGACTTGACAGTTTCGAGGGGTTGGACGACGGTATAACCTGGCTTATTGAAGACAAACGCGCCGCTACTGTCATCAAGTTCACTTCGACTCTCAACCATGCGACACGCGGTTCTGATCTCCAAACACTCACGATTCACGGCTTTGCACATTATGTCTTTGGTGCCACGAATGGGACACTTGTTATGGCTGATATTCAGGGAACCCCAGCCACTGTCCGTGGCAAAGACGGACTGGTTCTTTTTGACGTGATGACGCACACGGCCGATGGGTTTGGATTCCCCAATTTCCTACTTAACGGTGCTAACTCTGTCTCAGTGGCTCCGGACTTGGTGATTTTGGCATGGAAGGCATTGAATCATTCATCAACAGCCACCAATGCAACCAGGTCTGCAAGCGTCTTGAATTCGACGAGGTCTTCCCACTTGAGCTGTCGACGGAAGCTCTCGGACCGGATACCACCGACGAATCAGAAGGGTGTATCACCGGAGAGGACACGTCGGCCTTTTCGGGCGACGATTAAGCGTAGAGAATCCTTCAATTACTGCCTGTAGAGCTACGACAATAACTGTGCTATCATGCTGCTTGCTTGCAGCCATTCTCCGCCCAAATGATCAGTAGTCCGACGTGTCGGGTCAATATCCGATCTTGACAGATTCGATCTGTCAATTCGGAAACGAACCTCAACCGTCTCGCTTACCGTACCCGTGTGGACTGCGGGCTTCAGGGTACGGTTGTTGCTATACAATGAACACAATGAATACATAATAAATGCATTACGAGGGGGGCAATTAATATTCGCGGTTGCAGTAGCTACGCAATCTGATGGCTTACGGCGCGCACTTTAGCCATGCACGGCGAAATGCACATAGCATATACGAGAGCGCCTGAGCAAATTTGCACGCCCCAGCGGCGCGGGCTTCGCAACGCCCAGCTCACGCATCGCGTCGCGAGCCGCGCGTTACGCGTTACGCCCGCCCGGCCCAGCTCGCCAGCTTCGAATTTGCGCATACTTTACGATTACTGTTTTCATTTGGCTATCGCTATCGCTGTCGAATTCGCATTCGCGCCAGGCACAGGCGCCCAAGTGCAACAAGCCCTTCCCCGCCGGCGGGACCCGCGTGCTCGTGGGGCCCGGGCCCGCCCGCGACCCTGCCGCAAGCCGGGCAGGGCGCGCGCGAAACGCGGAGCAGGCGTCCCAGCACAGGGCCCGGGGCAATTCGGAATCGGGGCCGGCCCCCGCGCGGTCCCCTGACCCGGACCATGCATGATCGGCGCGCGCGGTACCTTTTCGCGCCTTGTCCCTGGGCTGGCGCAAGGTCTGGCCTTCACCCTTCCTTGGACGAGCTTCAGCAAACTTAACTCGCGCGTCGAAGCCTGAGGCCACAAACTCACCGATGCATATTGGACTCTCGCTGGAAGGGCAGCTTCGCCCTGTTCGTTCGCTCGCCGCCAGTCACCCGCGCTCTCAGTCGCCGGTCGGCGCTGGCGCACACAATTGCCAGCAATTTGGAATCTCCCCCCTGTGTTCGGTCCTCAGCTAAGTATATGCTCAGCCGGGCGGGCGCAGATCCTCGAATTCGTCCCCTCAAGGCACGATCAGCCTCGATCAGCAAGCCCAGCCGCCCCTCTCCCTCAATTACACGTGCGAGCGAGCTGGCGAACGCCGTCCCAAATCCAATGGACGCGGCGCGCCGAGCCGCTCACGCGTCGATCCCGATCACGATTCAGCCTAGGCCTGGATGGACGCGTCCGCCGAGCTGGTCACGCGGCGTTGGACTCGGGAGTTGGCCTTGAGTTGGCCCCAAGTGCGCACGCCGCTAGCCTGAGCGCTAGCCACTCGCCCCTCCGCACAGCCTGAGGCCGGCCCGGGCGGACGTCACGAGACGTCAACCCTGCCAGCGGTCGCCGCCTAAACGCAAATTAAGCGTTCTACATCAGGAAACACGGTAACTGCCCTGGTAGCGCTACAGGAGCATCTATAGCACTCATAGCTCTGTAGACAAGTTGCCCGATATATAGCGCTACAGAGTGCTATGGGAGCATATGCCAGTGCTATGGTAGAGCCCCCATAGCGGTGCCATAGCACTCCCATAGTCTTATATATCAGCCTAAATATACTGCAATAAGAGACAAATATTACTGCCCCTGCCCCACTACTGGCCAACTGAGAAGGCACAGGAGATAAGGCAAGGGACACTTTGAAGGCTTAATGGGTTACTTAAGATTATGATTATTACTTACTACTAAATGGCAACTGTGGGACTTGAACCAAAGACCTTGTGAAAAATCCACAAATAACAACGGAGTAAAGCAGATGGAATCAACTAGACCAAGTAGAGAATAGAACATATTCTTTCTCAGTAACTATAATGTGGCCTGGAACTGACTTGATGCTCTGACTATTTTGTCACATACCTTCTACTTGTATCCCAACTAGTCCCTTCAGCTATGTATGATATTGGTAGTGAATATATACTCACTATTCTTCAACTTTTATACAAACTTCTAATTTTTTATATGAGGAAATAGTATTGTGAATAGTTAGGAGCAATGGATTCATAGTCATTCATACTCTAGCTAGTGATGTTGGTAGCGCTATGGTAGCTGGTGATAGCCAGCAGTAAATACTACAACAGTATTCATATCTTTGATACTGATGTCTATAGCGCTACAGAATGCTATGGAGTTTCAGAAGATGTCTATGGTAGCGCTATAACAGCTATGAGGCCATACATATCTTGGCTGGCAGTTCCATAGCCGAATCCGTGTTTCCTGATGTAGCGGCGAGTCTAAACTCTAACACGCCGCCGCGCAGTTGGCATTGGCACTTACTTGTGTGTCAAATCGCCCGCATCCGTCGGCGGGCACCGGCAGTCTGGCACCTGCCGCCGCCGGGGAGTTCCACGTACTTGGATCCCTGACAAGGAGCAACTTGCGGGGGGTAGTTGACGAACGAAGATCAAGCGCAGGAGGAGAAGGGGAAGGGGCTCCGAGATGAACCGCATGATCTGCGACACCGAGCCAGGCTCGCGCTGACGTCAGCCCAGCGCGCGCCGGACGAGCCTGTGTGGAGCGCTGCGAACCGTGACCGGCGCGACGGGTGCGCGGAATTCCGGTCTAGAAGGCGCGCGGGGGGACTCAGGCTGGCGCCAGTGGCGCCGGCTGCGGCGAGCGAGCGAGCGCGGTTGTCGGGGTGCACAGAACGCGGAAAATGAAGCTGCAGTCACGGTGTATTGTATGCTTCTTTGTGTGCTTTCCCGGAGAACAGATTTGGCATGGTAACTTCAGTGGCGCGTTTAGGTCACGGTTGACAGTGGCGATTCCGAGGGAGGCGGATGGGCGCAGGGATAGGCGCGGGAGAACACGGTGCATGACGCGTGAGGAGAATAAGCGTAGACGATCCCAGCGCGGACGCAAGGACAGTAAGAAATGCAGAAGTATGAGTGAAGGGCCGTAAGTAGCGCCTAAAGCCAGACCTCAGGCTAGAGGCAGCTTGAACGGCGATGTTCGGAGCCAGAGCCAGCTCACGAGATCGAACCGTGCTGAACCAGAGAGAGAGAGACCAACTTGAAATAAGCAAAAAAAAAAAAAAAAAAAATCATGGACAGTACTACCTTCGATCGCTATTATTCGTTTTGGTTCCCGCTAAAACTTGACTCGAAGCCGCTTTTATACCTGACCTTAAAACAAGGGTTACAAGACAATTAGTTGCTGGAGAAATACATACGTTCACATACCTTACTAGTACACGCGTGGTAAGTACCCGCATCCTTCGTCGCAGCACTGTTGTCCATTGAAAATGTAGGTACAGCGACTTTTAGTAGTAAGCACCGACATACAAGTCCGGCTCGAGGAGAGAGGTGCATTTTTGCCGAAACAACTTGAAGTTCGCGGCATCTGCTTTTGGTGTAAGTTTCCCCGGGTGTCGCAGGGAGCAAACGAAAGCCTTACGTTGCGCGACCGCGAGCTCGAAAGCGAACGAGTCGCGGGAAGGGCCAACTGAGGCAGAGACGTCAACAACTTATCATGACCATGATCCAGCAAAAGATCGAATAGAACACTCACCTTCAGGCCAAATTATTTACAGCCCGGGGTGGAGCCTCGAGCTCTCGTCATACTAGGCCACTTTCGGCCTCAACAAGAATTCAGAGATGTCAAGACAAACCACAAACATTTATTTGTTCACATAAGTACTCGGTTCGCCGGAGGCCTTCCGGCTCCATTCCTTGCAGCTTGCTGCCAGCGCGCCATAGCACCTTCTCATAATTCCGTCTCAACATCACTGCTTGGACTCTTCGATATGCAATGAGCACAATACTAGTCCAAACAAGGAAACGACTTGCCAATGTCGACATCGACCCGCTCCTCGAGGCTCCAAGAATCTATTCAAAGTCCATCTCCCGCAAGGTGTCCCAGTCGCCCAGGCCAAAATACTCCGGCAGCTTCTCCCAGCACTTGATGCGAGCGGCTCTGGGCGCTCGCTTTGCCTTCTCCACACACACACGTTACACATTTTCTGGTCCCACACATTATCCCACCTCTCCAAGAAGCAGAGCACCTCATAGGGAGCTGAGAGCAGCTCGAGAAGAAGTGCCTTTCGTTGCGCGCTGCATTGAAGATTGTGCAAACAGCCGTCCCACGATATTCCAGATTCCGGGCTTAACGAAAGCAATGGTGTTTTGTGATAGCGGCGGCGGAGGATTTTGTTGCACGCCTTCAAGTAATTCAACTGGTCCTCTTGGTTGTTCAAGTTCAGTAGATATTCGTCTAAGTCCTGTAGAGTATCGAGAGGAGGAAGGAAACCAGGATATCACATACGTCTGGTTCTCCCGCCTGCGCATGGATAAGGCCATAGAATGCAAGGGGGAGGATGGAATAGAGCCCGACTTCGCGTGCAAGGTTGATGATTTGAACATTGAATTCAGTCTCATCGGTGTGGGCTGGGAGGGATATGGCGCCTGAGCCTAAACACGGACAACGATCGTCATCGTATTGCGCAAAACTGCTCGGAAAGACGTCCTTGAGCACCTTCACGCAGCGCTTTCGGAAACCGGCGATGTCGTATTTCTTGCTGAGACGCAGGACCGCGCGCAGCTCGGGCACAGATGGGGCGCTGTCCGCGCCGCCATCGTGGAACCACCTGCACAAAGTGGAGTAGTTTTGAGTCAGCCTGAGGGATTTGCACTGGCAGACGTGACGGGCGGTGCTCACTCTTTGGGAAAAATCGCCCGGAGGAGATACTCCCAGTCCTCACTCGTATCCCCAAACAAGACCACGACAGGGCATCGCTCAACCAAAGGCTCTTCTAGAGGTAATGGGAGAGAGAACATATCGCGAAAGACGGGCGAATGCATTGCGAGGACCGATTTGCTCAGGCGGAATTGCATGGACTGAACGTGCAAGACAACGTTTCCGTCGTCGAACCAGAAGTCTTTCGAGCGAATAACCATGGAGCGCCGGTCCTCGTCGTCTGTTCTTTGCCGCTTCGAGGGTGGTTCTGACATCGACATGAAGTTTCTGGACAAGGAAGTCACGATGTGACCAAGAGTTTTTACTTGACTGTCGTTATGTAAACGAGGATCTTTGCTGGTGTTGAGCGGCCTCGAGAACCATCTCTGTATTATACACGCTAACGGAAACAGTCGAATGCGCTCAAAAAGTTACTCAAAGTCCATCTTTTGCAACGTCTCCCAGTCTTCCAAGCCGAAATACGATGGCAGCTTCTCCCAGCAGTCTTTGCGAGCGGTTTCGAAGACTTCTTGGGCTTTGGTTACACAACCTTCGCACATGCGTGTATCCCACTGATTGTTCCACACCCGCAATATCGAGGCCACCTTATCGCTCTGCGAGAGCAGCTCAATCAAGATCTCTTTTCGTTCGGAGCTACAACGAGATGGGCTCGTGCATGCATCCCAAGATATTCCCGACTTTGGAGCCAGCCACTTCAATGGGGTGTTGGTGTAGGAGCGGACCATTTTGATATATGCTTCCAGGGAAACGCGGCGATCCTCTTTGTCGGTCATCATCACCAGGCTATCTCCATGAATCTGGCAAGCGTTGAGTAGACGATATCCGGAGCAAATTTGCTTACCCCTTCAGAATAGTGGATAAGGTTATAAAAGGCAGTGGGGAGGATCGAATAGAGGCCAAGTTCCCGAGCCAGGTTGACGACTTGAACGCAAGCTTTGGGTCCGTCGTCATCATTCACACAGATATTGGTCCAGGACTTTATCACGTTGTCAAACTGCAGAAGTTTGGTGGGAAACTCTGCCTTGAGACGCTCCACACAGTGTTTTCGGAATCCAGCAAGGTCGTACTTCTTACTGAGACGGAGAATCGCAGAAACTTGGTCTACATGGGGATCTCCGAAAGCAAAACAGCTGTAGGCACACGATGAATGAGTAATAGGGCAACAAGGGATTGAATAGCGCGGCGCACTCTTTAGGGAAAATTACACCAAGGAGATGCTCCCAATCTTCACTTGCGTCTCCGGGAAGAACCACAACTGGACAACCTTCACACAGCGGCTCGTTTTCGGGAAGCGAGAGGGAAAACATGTCACGAAAGATGGGCGAGTGCATGGAGAGGATCGATTTGCTCAGGCGGAATTGGGTTTGTTGGACTTGCAAGATAACATTTCCGTCCTCAAACCAGTAATCATTGGAGCGATGGATGATGAGCGGGTGGTCGTCCTCATCCTCGTCCATGTCCCTTCTTTGCCGCTTTGCAGGTGGTTCCGAGTCTGAGGTCGACATGTGAGTACTTGACAAGAGACGTGACGTTGTGACGAAAGGATTTGACACCACCTCCGCCGTCAGCTAGCTCTATCTCTGTCAAAGACCAAATGCGTTCTGGCAGAGGTTGGCCTCAATCAAGGTCACTTTTGCTCCAAGTTACACCACTCCGTCTTCTTCAAGCTATGGATTGGCGAGCCTCTTGTCGAATTCAAGGTATGATTATGAAGAGCTCGAACGTCACTTCTCCTCAACTCCATAAGTTTGGGCAACATGCTAACCAATACTCCTTTCAAACTTGCTCAACTTCTCATTCCAACCGCAACTATTGATTATATTGCTTTCACAAATCTGACTTTTTCCTAAGCGCCGACAACCGTGACGCGATTTCTCGGAAATTTAGTCAAAGCACTGTGTGACTGACACAGTTGTTCCTTTCCTCCACCCACACCTACGGTCTCAGACGACCCCGATACAACACAATCGACATGCCTACGTGGAGCGGGGTAAACAATAATCTCCGCGATGTTCTTCCCCTACAGGAGTTCCTGGAAAAGTACATGCAACCACCTGCTAATGAACGGCCAGCCAGAATCCGGGCTATGACACTCAACGCAAAGCCATCTCTCAAAGAAGCGCGCAAAACGCTTCGCTTCCAACTAGACCGATGGCAAAATGTTGACCAGAGTCCAGACGAGGGGGTTGTCGAGGGCCGAGGCGCCATTCGTACGTGCCACCGACATTCATATTGTTGCATTTGACTCATAACCACTTAGCTGAAGTATGGGGCGGCTCTGCTGGACACGCATAACACGACTGGTCTCGACAAATGGAAGTCAGGTCGTGTTTCTGAATGACAAATCCGACTGGGAGGCCGATATTATCCGCATACTTAAACCATATCACTGGGTGCCATGAATTGCAGGGGATCTTGTATGACCAGTGACCACTCATGATCACACCCGGAAAACCAACTGTGTACGCGCTCATAGAATCCGGTCGCTGCCAATGCTTCGTTCACATTCTCGGAATTTTTGCCATTGAGCACGCACGCATCTTTGTCTTCGACCGTTCTGGATTCGCTGTTAGTAGTTACTGAATGCTTCAACTGGCTCACGAATGACTAGTGTTCACTATGGCACGCTAAGTATTTTTCGTCATGTGTCAAACTTACTAGTACTAGCAGGCTTGTATGTCCATCTGGATTCTGTGTTGGTTTTACTTTAGAGAGTACTACTAGTATGCAACTCGGATTGTAAATATGGCAGTGCCCCAAGGGCCAAAGTTACTTATTCAAAGTCCATCTTTTGCAACGTCTCCCAATCTTCCAAGCCGAAATACGATGGCAGCTTTTCCCAGCAGTCTTTGCGAATGGCTGCAAAAATTCGTTTCGCCTTGGTAGCACAGCACTCGCACATCCGTTCTTCCCAATCACTGGCCCATTCGTCCAGGATACAGGCCACCATGTCAGGAGCCGACAGACGCTCGCGGAGAATCTCTTTCCGCTCCAAGCCGCAGATCGTCTCGGCCTCACAGCTGTCCCATGGAATCCCCGAATCTGGGTCCAACCATGTTGATTATGTGAGCCCGAAGTGTAATCAGTCAGCCATTACACATACATTGTAGATATTGGTAGAATATTCTAGTTACTTCCTTTGTAGTATATAAGGGGGTTCAAAGGAACAGAACCCCCAGTGTTTATCCAAACTAGCTTAACAGCTGGAGTACACCAGGTCAAACTACCAGTCAATTCTCAACATAAACACTCACTTGGCGTACTACTTGGCCATCTGCCACGTCCCCATCATCATTTATCCCCATGTCGAATTCTACGACCAACATCAACTCGCTTCTCGCGACAGTCCCGAAGCTAACCGGTAGCGGCAACCATGCAAACTGGAAGTTTGCGATCGGAATGGTGCTCCACCGGGCCGGTCTGTGGACTATGATCCAAGAGTGGATCGACAAGCGTGCCAAGGGGGACGAGAGCTCGGAAGCATCAGAGGCTTCGGGGGCGTCAACGAGTACCAGTCGGACGTCTCGTCGTCAAGCTAAGGCGGCAGCTGACAAGGCCAAGGAGTCAGAAGAAATTCTGACGATCATCGGACTCACCATTGATCCGAACCAGTATCAGCACATCGCAGAATGCACTGATGGACTCGAGGCATGGGCAAAGTTGGCCGAGATCTACGAGAAGGATTCTCGCCCAAGTCGGATTGCCCTCAAGCGCGAGTTCTACACCCATTCTCAAGACACCGCGAAGCCCATCTCGGAGTACATCTCGACAATTGGGCGACTGGCGTCGGCTCTGCGCGCGATCGGTGTCAAGATTGACACGCGTGATGAGGTGGACGTGATGATATATAATCTCTCCCCGGAGTGGGGGAGCATAGCCTCCATGCTGACAGCAACTTCTGCCGATCTAACCGTCGCAGATGTGACCGGCGCGCTGTTGGATGAAGAGCAGAGGCGTGGCGGTGCGCCAGCGGCAGTGGCCATGGCTGCAACGCGGAAGAGGTTCTCGGTGACTTGCTTCAAGTGTCACAAGAAGGGACACATTGCCAAGAACTGTCCATCTGGACAGGGCGCGTCAGCGCATGTGGCAACGGAGAGAAGCGGCTATGCATTTTAGATCACGCCGGGCTGATGGAACGGAACGGCTCCGGATGGAGTGGCCAATGAGGTGGCAAAGCTACGTGCTCGTTCACAGCGGATCTGCCGAGAAGAATTTTTTGGACATTTTGGATTTTTGATTTCTTTGCTTACACTTGCAGGCTCATGGGGGTGTGTTGATTATGTGAGCCCGAAGTGTAATCAGTCAGCCATTACACATACATTGTAGATATTGGTAGAATATTCTAGTTACTTCCTTTGTAGTATATAAGGGGGTTCAAAGGAACAGAACCCCCAGTGTTTATCCAAACTAGCTTAACAGCTGGAGTACACCAGGTCAAACTACCAGTCAATTCTCAACAAACCAGCGCAACGGTATGTCGGAGTAGGAGCGCACTATCTTCAAGTATGCTTTCAGATAATTGACTTGATCTGTGCTGTTCAGCTTCGCCAGATGCTTGAACTTAATCTAGCAGTAGTTGAGGAGGCTAAAGAAGTTTAGAATGGGAGGTACATCAGGGAAAAAAGACAAGTCTAGATAGTACTCAGTAGTGGGAGTAGCTGAGGTAGTTGGGTAGACAAGTACCCCACTGGGTAGAGCTGGGTAGCACATGACTTGAGTCTAGGTAGCACCCTAGTAGTTCCCAGTAGCATCAGCCTACAAACTGTAGTAGCACTTTATAGAAACTAAACCTGAGCTATAGCCACCTATTATTCACACTGGTGATTTGGAAATAGAAACAATATTCATATTATTGCAATAAACTAAATGATGATACGCAAATCATGCCTGCACCTTGAAGCGCGGGCGACGCGGCGGCTGGTGGGACGGTTGAAGGTGGACGCGAGAGGGCGAGGATGGAGGTGGAAGGAAAGCCAGAAACGCTGAATAAGCGTTAGTAAGGCTGAGTAAGGCTTGCCTAAGCTGCTCACCTAACGCTTACGAATCGTCAAGGAAACGCAGCAACGAGGGATAACCTCGCGAGGCGATACGAGCAACGGAGGCGGTACGGCGAGTCCGCAGCAGCGTGACGGGGTGACGGGGGCCTAGGTATATAAAGAGCTCCTCTTGTACCTGTAGAAACAGTGAATCCCAGTTGGATTGCATTCATAGCCTGCGTACCAAAGGGTAGGGGCTTTCGGACTAAGAACGCGCACACGAGAACACGGAAACGGAACGACTACGGCCCGAAGGGCATTTGTATACGATCGTTGACAGACGCCGCCTGTCAATCAAAGAACCGATAAAGCCGTCGGACCGATACTGAATTACGAAACTATATACGAGTACCTATCGTTCCCACGACCCTTGCCGCTGCGCGGACAAAGTCTACACCGTTACTATCCACAAATACACAAACTATCGACTATCTCCTGGATTGCAACTACTGTATACTTCAGTAGGAGCCCCCGAACACACACACAAACGTTACCGAGCATTGTATTGGAAGGATTAATTATTACATTGGGTTGTTGGAGTTGTTTGTTTTGGTTTTGGTTTAGAGTGAGTGTCAGAGTCACCTTTTCTCTTCACCTCCCTAGTGTTTCATCTGGTCCTTTCCTTTCCCACCCACACCCCGGTTTCCCGCGTTTCATCTGGAGCCCACCGCGAGGGGGTTCATCCAGAATATTCAACAAATATTATTGTGTTGATCACATATAAACAACGAGTTCAAGACTATCTGCGGCACATATAGCAAGAAATTTGGAAAGAGAGAAAGCACGTGATCGCGCAGAGCGCTGGTCAGAATTACGTAATACACAAGTCACCTCTGGTCACATTGATCCAGACACAACTACAACTGAAGTAATTAAAGAAGACTCCTTTGAATTAGAAGGACACATACTGGCTGGACTACCTTCTATCTTTGAAGAACCTGAACTAGAGGAAGGAGAGATCTTGGATAATAGTACTGGAGACTATCATCACCAGTTACCATTGATTGGTAACAGGAACACAGCAACCCCTTCTTTAAATATTTCATCCTCAAGTGCACCACCACCAGCAGGACATCAAGAGAGAGTAGGAGCTTGGGTTGAATTATTGGCTTCTGCACTTAGGCCAGACCCAGAAGATATCCCTGAAGACAGTCCAGAAGGAGAAGTTAAACAAGAAGAACAAGAACAGGACCTTGGAGAGACAAACCTTGAGCAGGCTCTAGGATTTGACTTTGAGAATCCAGACAACTACCACAACTGGGATACTGATCTCCCATACACAACACCTATACCTGGTTCACCAAGTTCCAGTTCATCTTTTTCATCTTCATCTTCATCTTCATCTTCATCTTCATCCTCATCTTCATCCAACAACCAAGCACCAATGGCTACAAACCAGGCTAGCAATGGGAATGCTGCTACATTCAAGATACCAAGACCATGGGAATCAGGAGTTCCCAGGTTCACATCAGAGGACAAGA